CCACTACCGAATCTGCTCCTTCGCCAAGCCATAGTGACTTGCATCCTAAAACTTGAAAATAGAATCATCGGATCCCATAGCAAACCGCTACCGTTGTTGTTGGAAAGAAATGGTACTAAGTTTCGGCATCGTCAGTTGGAGAAGTTGAATATGAGTTGTTGTTGTCCCTGAAATTGAATCTGCAAACAATCCTGCTTATACCATTTCCAGAAACAAAATGAAACTAGGTCGTGACCAAGCCTCTCAGATCCGATTTGCAACCATTGTTGTCAATCGAAATATAGAGCCAGGATCGAGTCACTAATTTTGCAGCAGGGATGATCTTATTTTGTGGAAGAATTTGTGTTGTTATGGTCGCTGAAGAAGCTGCTCATGAATGCAACGCAACTTCAATCATAATCGTGTAGTTGAAGGCACAATCTTGCAGTGTCGCCTCAAACCCGTAATGGGATCCGTCTCTTGAGTTAATACACCACTTCATCTGTTGCGGATGAATCCTGTGAACAAAACACGAGCTGTTGTTGAAATAATAATAGCCGAAATCAAAATCTCACAGCAGCATCGGACGGTCCAAGGTCAAGGGTGAACAACTGAGTTCCTTGCACGTCGCCGGTGAACCACGACAGTGTTGTTGTTCGTCGGACTTGATGTGCTTTCGTGGCGAGGAAGCTATGAAGGAGGGTTTTGTGGTGAGCGGTTTCGAGATGAAGTTCGAAGGAGAAAAACGACGTCGATTGAGGCGAAGAGGAAAAGGGTTTCGGTGTCACAAGTTTGAGGGCGGAGGCTTTGTCGTGAGGTTGTAAGGAAGAAGAGGGGTTCTGTGTTTGAATTGGGGGCGGCTGAATTTGACTAGGGTTTCTTGGGGCGCCGTTTTAAGTGAACAGTAGTTTTTTAGGGTTCCCTTTTGCATCAATTTCCCCCTTCCTTTATAACCAGCGGACGCTCTCCCTCAGTCTCTCCTAACGGGCCCCCACGATGGGCCTCATGTGAACCAGAAATTAATTCCACAATTTTTGCTTTGTTTTGTGTTTTTTTTTTAATTAAATGAACCACTTAACTACTAATTAAAAAAAACAATACTAACTATTAATTATAACAAGCAAATTGATAAAACTATAAGAAAATTAATATTATACAAATAAATTGATATAAACTTAATTAATATTATTAACATAAATAACCTAATATATATACAAAATATTATTATTACTTAAAAGAAAGAAAAAAAAGTTAAGAAATGGAAATAAGATAATATTCACACAAAAATTTAGGACACGTGTCATGCTTTAATTGATCAGAAAGAATAAATTAAAAAACGACTAATTGTGAGATGCCACGTGTCCAAATAACAAGAAACAAATCAGACAACGTAAGATATAAAACAAAGTCGAACAGTGAAAATAATTGAAAAAAAAGGGTAGGACAAATTTAGGGTATGACAGATGGCGCTTAATGACCACCAAGGCAATCATAACCGTGGAGTAACTCAAAGAAAACCCGGAGTGCTAGAGTTGAGTACCAATGATGCTATTCTTGCTCAAAACAAACTTCTATCACAACAAGTAGAGCTTTTGACTCAACAAATGTCAAAGCTTCCACAACAAATCAAGGAGATATAAGAAGTTCCTATCAAAGCTCAAGTGGCAAGTTGCGAATTATGTAAAGGTGACCATCCTACCGGGTATTGTCCTCCAGTAGTGGAAGAGGTTAACTATGCCGGAAATCAAAATCAGGGATGTCAACCTAGGCCGCCTTACCAACAAGCCAATCAAGGGTATAAAAGACCAAATCATGGGTATCAACAACCTTGGAGGCCACAAGAAGCCGAAACTTCAAATTGCCAATAATACCAAAATTACACTCAACCTCCACAAACTCATAGTGCTACTTCAAAGATGGAAGAAACTCTTACTCAATTTATGCAAATGTCAATGTCAAATCAAAAGAACACTGATGCAGATATAAAGAATTTGGAGACACAAGTGAGTCAATTATCAAAACAATTGGCCGACCAACAAAAAGGACCATTTACGGCTACCGCTCTCCCAAATCCTAAGGAGCATAGCAAGGCGATTCTCATAAGAAGTGGTAGAGACATTGACATGGGTGTAGGTGAGAAGGTAGTAGAGGAAGAGGTTGTAGTTGAAAAAGAAGAAGAGAATGTTGAGAAAGAAGTAGAAAAAATGTTGAGGGAGAATTAGTTGAAAAAGGAAGAGTGAAAAAGAGTGAGGAAGAAGAGAAAAATAAGAGAGAAGAAAAAGTGAAAAAGTATATGAAAGGAAAAGAACAAGTGAGCAATATTTCGATTCAAAATTTTCCATATCCACATGCTCCATCAAGAAAAAATAGTGCGAGGCACTATGCTCGATTCATGGATATATTCAAGCAATTGCAAATCAATATTCCATTTTCTGAAGCATTGGAACAAATGCTCAAGTGTACGAAATTCATGAAGGATATCCTTACAAAAAAGAAGAGGCATACAGATCAAGAAACTATCATGGTGGATGCTAGTTGTAGTGTAATCATTCAACACACTCTCTCGAGGAAAGAAAGTGATCTGGGACAAGTCACTTTGCCAGTTACAATTGGAAACACTTATGTTGCCAATGGGTTGATCGATTTAAGCTCTAATATCAATTTAATACCCTTTTCTATTGTGAAGCGGTTGGAACCATGTAGTTGAAGTCTACTCAAATGAAATTGCAACTTGCCGATAAATATATCACTCGCTCTCATGGTGTAGCGGAAGACGTGTTGGTAAAGGTTGACAAATTTTTGTTTCCAATCGACTTTGTAGTGATTGATATAGAGGAAGATGAGGACGCTCCCTTGATTCTTCGGTGACCTTTTATGAAAAACGTGCGTATGGCATTTGATATGGATGATGGTCTAATGAAAGTTAGAGTCCAAGATGAGGAGATATGTTTCAATATTTTTGAAGCCATGAAGCACTCGAAGAACAAGATCGGTTGCTTTAGAATCGATGCAACGGAAAGGGTGATCAAAGAAGTTAAAAAGTTACTACAAGTTTCCAAGAAAGAAAAAGAGATTGAAAAATGATTGCGGGAGCTTGAAGAATTAGAAGAAATTCCCCCTTTGAAAGAAAGGGTGGAAATTTGAAAAAGGAAAAAATGAGAAAATTAAACGTGAGTTGTAAGTGTTACCCTCTCATCTCAAGTATGTCTTTCTTGATGAAGAGGGAAACAAGTCGGTGATCATTAGTGCAAAGCTAACCAAGAAGGAAGAGCCAAAATTAGTTGGTGTTTTGAAAAAAATCAAGAGGCAATGGGTTGGACTCTTTCCAACTTGAAAGGTATAAGTCCATCCAATTGTATGCACCAAATATTCATGGAGGAAGATTTCAAGCCGGTGGCTCAACCACAAAGAAGATTGAATCCTACCATGAAAGAAGTGGTGAGGAAAGAAGTTGTAAAAATGTTGGACGCTGGAATGATTTATCCTATCTCTGACAGTCTGTGGGTTAGTCCAGTACAAGTGGTGCTGAAGAAGGAAGGAATGACAGTTATCTGTAATGAGAAGAATGAGTTAATTCTAACAAAAACTGTAGCGGGGTGGAGGATGTGTATCGACTATTGTAGGCTCAATCAAGCTACGGGGAAAGATCACTTCCCTCTTCCTTTCATGGATCAAATGTTCGAAAGGCTCTCTAGTCAAGAGTATTATTGTTTTTTGGATGGATACTCGGGTTATAATCAAATCAATGTCAACCCAGAGGATCATGAAAAAAGGCTTTCACTTGTCCTTTCGGAATCTTTGCTTATAGGAGAATGTCGTTTGGCCTGTGTAATGCATCAACGACTTTTAAGATAATTTTGTACAAAATCTCCATCTTTGTTCAAGGTAATTTCGTACAAAATCTATGTTTGACTTAAAGACTAACTGCTCAAAGTTATGTTCGTTGTTTGGTGTGAAAACTAACTGCCTCATTCCACTGTTCGTTTTTTGGTTTGAAGTAAACCTAAAATTTCATTTTTCTTGTATAAGAGGGTTTATGGTTTTAACCTTCTAAAAACTCTCAAATATTATTAGATACCCTCAAGATCAATTATTGAAGAAAAAAGCAAATATTTTCATATAAAATCTATATAAATCTTCGGTGTTATCTCTGTTTCATTAACTTTTTACATTCCGTTTATTTATTTTACTTTTTACCGTTTATTTTCCTTCAAAATTAATTTTGTTTTAAAATCATTATTTTTCAAAGCTTTACACTACATCATTTTTTTTCACATACTCAATCATTTTTAATCATGCATTTTTTCACATGTAATTTCTTATATATAAGAGTTGATTGGTGCGCTTAAGATTTAAATAAGATGTGCTCCTACTGAGTATTTGGTGAAGCATAATATTCATTGCATACATTGATAAATGGATTCATACCAAAAGAAACTTTAGACCGACAATATGGATGTTATAACTTTTATAGATAACTTTTTTTTATAGAACAGCGGAATCAGTCGATGTTTATTTATTTTACTTTTTAACGTTTATTTTCCTTCAAAATTAATTTTGTTTTAAAATCATTATTTTTCAAAGCTTTATACTACATCATTTTTTTTTCATACAATCAATCATTTTTAATCATACATTTTTTCACATGTAATTTTTTATATATAAGAGTTGATTGGTGCATTTAAGATTTAAATAAGATGTACTCCTATTGAATATTTGGTGAAGCATAATATTCATTGCATACATTAATAAATGGATTCATACTAAAAAAAACCTTTAGACAGATAACTTTTATAGATAACTTTTTTTTTATAGATAAGTGAAATCAGTCAATTCATTTCTTATAAGACAATCCGAAAACCCTAAACTCTTAAAAAAAAGAAAGAAAGAAAGAGATATATTTGCAGATATTTTACAGTGAAGCATTTCTTATAAGAAATCCAAAAACCTTAAACCCTATTTCATTTCCAATATCATTTTCTGAACTTCCAATATCATTTTCTGAACTTCCATTCGCAACGATGGCGACCATGATCTTCTCCAGGGTCATTCCCAAAACCCAAACCCTAACTTCCCTCATCTCTCGCTCACTCTCCACCACTACCACAACCACCGTTCCCTCTTCCTCCGCTATCGCTCTCCTTCGCCGACTCCGTCCTCTTTCCGCTGCTTCCGTCACCTCCCGCGGTGTCCTCTTTCTCCCTAACTCCTTCCGCTCGTTCTCCACACGCGCTACCACCTCCTCACTCAACGACCCCAACCCTAACTGGTCCAACCGTCCCCCAAAGGAAACCATCTTGCTCGATGGATGCGATTTCGAGCACTGGCTTGTGGTTATGGAGAAGCCTGAAGGTGATCCCACAAGAGATGAAATTATTGATAGCTACATCAAAACACTGGCGCAGGTTATTGGTGGAAGGTAATCATCGCATAAAAGATCTCAATTTTCATTCAATTTTTTTTTTCTGCTCGGTTTTCTTCAGATTAAAAATGTGTTTTTCGCCATTGTTCCTAGGAATATCTGTTAAAAATTGTGTTTTTCTGCATAAAAAATTGTGTTTTTCTGCTCGATCTCTTAGGTGATGTTAATAGCTTAATATGCAGCCGCTTATAGTATATGTGCTTATCTTGATAAGCACTTAGGTGTAAGCTATTTCTATAACAAAATAATAAATAAAGTTAAAGCATTGCTTTGTATAAGCTATTAGCTGTTTTTCACTCGAAATCTTGGACAGCTTATAAACAAAGAAGCTAAAAACATGAAAAATATTACAAGTTGTTTTCATATATTCTTCAAAACCATCTCACTAGTGGTTATGCCAGTAGATAAGCTCAAGTAAACCAGTTCAAATAGACCCTTAGTGTGAGTGTTTTTTTTTTTGTTGACAGTGAGGAAGAAGCAAGGATGAAGATATATTCTGTTTCAACTAGACACTATTTTGCTTTTGGGGCTCTTGTATCTGAAGAGCTTTCCTACAAACTTAAAGGTATAGTACACATTTCTAATTTCCAAGACTCTTTCTTTTGAATTTTGTTTTTTCTTTTATATTAAGGGTTTTGTACTTTTCAAATTGCAGAACTTCCCAAAGTTCGATGGGTTCTACCTGATTCATATTTGAATGTGAAGGAGAAAGATTATGGAGGTAAATTCTATTTTCTAGTCTCATGGCTTCTAATTATATTCATTCAATCTCAGGTGTATAAATGTCTTCAGCTGTGTCTGTATAGGGAATAGCATGCACAAGACCCCTAGAGTGAAGTATAATAAAGTAGAAAGATGAAATGACCTGTTAAAGAAATGCTATGTAGATATTAAAGACTTTGGTGTAGGCATTCTAGAAGCACCACCTTATTGATAGATATAGCATAACTGCTTTCTCAATTATTCTAATCAATCAGTGTTGGGCTGTGTACTCGATCTATTTTATCTATCACATTATCTTTTAACTCACCCTCCTTGGAAATGATTCATTGCTTTTATAGATGAAAGGAATGAATGTTTAGTAACCTTTTGTGGTACATTAAGTGCCGAAGTTCACCAGAGAATAATCATTTGTTACTAACTTTTAGCTTGCACATTAGTGTTATTGATTTTTATTGTGATTAACTTGTGCTGTTGTATACTTGAGTTTAGTAATATCAGGTGTTACAATAAGTATACCGTATATAGTCTTTCCATAGCATATCCTGTTTCTTGATGTAAAATGACCCAATGTTGATTTGATACTCAGTGTACTTTTCTTGTTTCCCTTTCACTAGGTGAGCCCTTTATTAATGGGCAAGCTGTTCCTTATGATCCCAAGTACCATGAAGAGTGGGTTAGGAACAATGCCCGTGCAAATGAAAGGAACAGGCGCAATGACAGACCTCGTAATGCTGACAGGTCAAGAAACTTTGACAGAAGAAGGGAAAATGTGGTGAACAGAGATATGCAGACTAGGCCTCCAGTGCAGAATCCTGGGCCTAATATGGCTGGTCCACCTCACAATGCGGGTGGATTCCCTCCCAACAATGCGGGTGGATTCCCTCCCAACAATGCTGGTGGGTACCCTCCTAACAATGCTGGCGGATATGCTCCAGCCCCTCCTAGTAATCAAGGTGGATACGCCCCTCCAAATGCAGGCGGATATGCTCCAGCCCCTCCTAGCAATCAAGGTGGATACGCACCTCCAAATGCAGGCGGATATGCTCCTAACAACACAACTGGCGGTTACCCTCCTCCCAATATGGGCGGGCCTCCTCCTAACATGGGCAGACCCCCTCCTCCTCCTAACAGTGGATATGGTATGCCTCAAAATAACTACCCTGGCAACAATGGAGGCGTGCAACAAAACCAGAACATGGGAGGGTTGCCTCCAAATGCAGGATGGGCAAATAATCGATAGACTCCTCTCATGCTCCTCTCATGCGAATGCCTACTTGAGAAGCTTGTCTGATGAGATAGATACAAACTGTGTAGTGTGTCTGGTGAGTTGTGAACATTTTATTCTACTGTAATTCACAATATTGGAAATTTCTTATTATAACGGTTTGATATTTATATTCAAGATCAAATTTATAAATGGATAATAACCGCTGAAGAAAATTGTTTAATTAGTGGCCCAACAATTTCTGTGATCACTAATGACAAAAATGAACTGGGCGTACTTTTTAATGTTGCCTATTAGAACATCATTCAAGCTAACGACATAACATTCACAAGAGTGACAAAAATAAGTAAATTAATAAAAGCAATATATCATCGATGAACCTATGGATTGGTGGAATGGAATAGGGAATGTTTGGATATAGATTATTGAGTAGGGATGCTCAAATTAATCGGGTTGATGGTTTATCTATAATCATATTCAGACTCGGTTATCAAAAACCAATTACATTTATTTTGATTTTTCAACCAATTCATTTTAAAATTTATTTGGATATCCATAGCGAGTAGGTTGAATAACCCACCAAATAAAAGATCCAATACAACCACAGCCAAATAAAAGATTCAATATGACCAGCTCAAAACTCTAATCATCTCTTCTCCATTCTTTCTCAATTGAAAATCCAAATCTCTAACCATTAGAGTTATCAAAATAGGCTAGTTCACATGAGTTTCTTCACTATTTCTCAATTGAAAATCCAAATCCTTAAACACTAGAGTTATCAAAATGGACTAGTCCAAGTGAGCCGGCCCGTCAAGTCCGAAATATCATAGGGTTTGGGCCTTAAAATTATAGCTCATATTTTTCAGGGTTTTTTAGTCCAACCTTAAAAAGACTGCTACGCATTAAACTCATATCGCTATAAATTTTAAAAATTTATATTAATACCTATATTGTCTTACTCCAAAATTAGACATTGATTTTTCTCACCTCACTAAATTTTATCTTTATTCTATTCAATATATATATTTTTTAAAATTATACATTAATATAATCAATACTCTTTTCTCGTATTCTATTAGTTTCTCTTAAGTTAAATATTTAAGTATTATTTTATACAATTTAGACATGTATTATATTTAAAAACACATTATAATATTTATAAAAGATAATATAGTACTTAAAAATGCATTATGTTTAAGATAATATAATTTTTAATTTTATTTATAATTTATATTATGGCATTTTTATATTTATTTTTATTAAAAAAAACCCATTTAGGGCCGGTTTGTCCGAAGCCCATCTAGGGTCGGGCTCGGTAGTAACTTTCGAGTTCATATTAAAAATGGTTTTTTTGGTCCAGTCTTAAAAAGCTCGAGCCCACCAGGACCGACCAATTTAGGATCGGGTGTCCATTTTCACAACTCTACTAAACACAATTCTCCCTTCTTCATTCTCTCAATATCAATTTCGATTTCAATGACCTAAATGGGATTCTTCGTTTTCCTTTCTATTAACATCAATCAGTGAATTCATTTTAAGCTCTTCCATTCTCAATTTGTGGAAGGAACGAAGAAATCAATCCAGGTAAATTGATTCATAGCAATAATCTGTTTGTTTTCCAAATTGATGTTTTAATAAGATGCACATGTTGAATTTAATTGTCTATTTGGGATGTGCATGGTACTTATGACAAGATGATAACATATTCTTGTATTATTTTTTTCTTAAGATCATTTTTCTTTAGTTGCTACGCATTTTCTTGATGTGTATTGTGTATTTCTTTTGCTAATAACTAGCAGTATTTAAAATCACAATCATTCTTGTAATTACGTAACAAAATCATGGTAATTTTCTTTGAATTAATTTGTGTCGCTACTACGAAAAAGGGGCTGGATGACTGACAGAAGAGTTACCACCGTTCGTTATTTATCCGAAAGAGAGGGAAATGAAACAAGCGAAAAAAACCTATGAAAAAGGGAAAAGACAGGTCATCGCAACCAAATCTCGGGTTCGGGAGTCGGTTACGCAAGGGGAAGGTATGAGCACTAATCACGTCCGTTGTACTCAACGGGATCCACGCTTGTTATCTATCTAAAAGGGTGTTAATCTAACAAAAGGCTGGCTCACAGGGTGAAAGAAAAGAAAAGAGACTCAATAGAGCATCACCGATCTATGCCTACGTATTACCTCGTACAATGGGAAAATCAAAGTCAACGTAGTTCGGAAAACTACGGGTGAAGGGGGGGGGGGGGGGAAGGTTGCTCGCCAAGATATTGTCGTCTTATGCCTACGTATCCTCATCTGGTATGAGAAATCAGAGCAAATGTAGTTCAGGCTGACACGACCACTGGCTGGTTCAAGTGTTTTAATGAGTAGGGTTAAATCTCCATTCTAGCAGTTAGGAACGATGTCTGTTTGCGGTAGAACCAAGACTTAACACACTCTTTCTGAAAATTGAAGGTGAGAAAATACTTAGAAGGGGGGATGAATAAGTATAGAGAAAATAGTATGGCAATAAAAACTCAAGGATTTTTATCCTGGTTCGTTGAACTCAACTACTTCAGTCTACCCTATCAAGAGTGATTTGCCTTTCTCCACAAGGACTTAATCCACTATTAATCAAACTGATTACAATAGCAAACACTAAGAGCAACTGTTCTTAGTCTTCTCAAGAACTACTGACCACAATTGGGTCTTCTCAAGGAACTTTTACAATCAAATGTAAAACTAAACAAGTGTTTGAATGCTTCTAAGTAAGCTATATCACAACTGTGATTTACACTTAAGTTTAAGAACGTATAAAATAAATTCAGCAAAGAGAATAAATTGTATGAGAGCTTTTCAATGAATTTCTTTCAATAATCCGTCAACTGAAGAAGGGTGTTGGAGACTTGCTTTTATAGACTTAGAAATCCAAGACATTGCATGCTTTGAAGACCGTGTCTACAAAGTAGCTGTAACCTTTTTGTCTTCACATCACTTGACCTTTCCTAGAAGTAGAACATTCAGAGAAATCCTTTTTGCCTGAGTTCTTGTGTCTAGCATAAATGAGGAAAGAGTCGTTTGGCATAACCAACAAACATAAATTTGAATTCTTCTTCAGCAAGTTTCTAATTCTCAGCAATTAACATCAGAGCCTTGAGTGATCAGAGTCTTTGATGTTCATCAGAGTTTGCTGTATCAGAGCATTGCAGCAAGTGTGCTTCAGCGTGTAATAATTCAGAGCAGAGTTTGGGATCAGGTCCTCAGTACTTGCAGCGTACAATACTATCAGAGTCTTCTGAAAAACTGTGCTTGAAACTCTTCATACAAAAGTCTTCAGACTATGCTCCATATGCTTCTGTAGCTTCTGCTTCAGATTCTTCTGTAGGCAGCGCTCAGAATCTTCTGTAGGCAGCATTCAGATTCTTCTAATAGATGCTTCTGACGCTTCAGAGCCTTGCATAGTTCCATGTTCAGATCCATTTTTGCTTTCAGAAGAATATTCAATTTAATATCTGCAGCAAAAATACTTAAACAAATTTTAGAGTATATAATTTCTTAATACAAAATTTCGTAAGTGTTATCATCAAAACATAGAGATATAACTAAGAACCAATTTGTGTTCTAACAATCTCCCCCTTTTTGATGATGACAAAAACATAAGAAATTTTGTTCAATAAAGCAATAATTATAACTCCTCTTGAGATTATGAATCTCCCCTTGAATTGAATACTTAGAAAGAATAGAAACTTCCCTTTTTGCATTAGTATTCTTTTCAGAATCAGAGCCTGATTGTTCCAAAAATTAGAGCTTGACTTGGATGAACGTTTCATAATCAGAGCCTGATTGGTTAAACTTGATCTGGGGATCTCAGAGTTACTTTAAAGAATCTGTCAGATTTTTCATATGTTCTGAAATACTAAGAGTTCACGTTAGTTATAATTAGATATGTCTGAATTTCATTTAGGTAGAGTTTATTTGAACAGTCAGAATTTCATTTTCTCCCCCTTTTTGTCATAATCAAAAAGAAAAACTTTTAAAGACAAAAGAAAAGGAAAACAGAGAGAAAAAATACATCCAAGTAGAGAAAGCATCAGATTCATTCATTCATAAGTACTTAGACAGAACAGACAAAAGCATCAAATAAGAAATTCAAGTACAGGTGCACAAACATCAGATACAGAAAACATAAAGCTAGGTTTGTTTGGAAAGGATCATCTTCAGAAGTTGAGTGATTTCAGATGAAGACTGTTCTTGCGTTGACATCCATTTCTCCATGTTCTCATTCTTCTGATCTTGTTTAGCCATTCAGGACTTGATCTCAGATTGACCAACTTTTAACACAACAATCTTATCTTCTAATTCTGGGTTCTCTTTCTTGATCTCAGAAGAAGTAGATGGAGCAGATTCTGATGTAGGAGCAGAGTCAATAACCATTGGGGTAGCAGAGTCTGGAGCCACAGATGCAGAGGGTTTGTTTACAATTGTCAGAGCCAATGAATTTTCTTCAGAAGCAGATTCTGCAAAAGTTTCTGTAGCAGATATTCTAGAAGATGAAGATACATCCTCAAGAAGCAAAGGTGCAGATCTTTTCATGTTCCATACCATGGTTCTGGAAGTCTCAGCAAATCTGATCTTTGCATCATCAGAACAGACATTCTTCAGATTTGAAGCAATTGTATTGAATTTGGAAATGAAGCTATTCCAGATAGCATCAAATTCTTCTACATTCATGGTTGAGAAGCATCACTTCTATATAGAGCCTAAATTCATCTTTATTTCTTTCAAAAAATTAGCAAATAGAATATCAACGTTTAGCCTGGGTTTTGGTTTGAGAAGGGCTTCAAGAGTTGATGGTTTGGGTGGTTTAGGTGGAGTTGGTATGGTGAAATGTGGGATGATGAACAGAGGACGAGGGTAGGAAGGAAAAGATGGATGGTCAGATGATGAAGTAGCAGTGTTGGATCTGGAAATGGTATGAATCAGAAATGATTTTACACGTGATGCAGAGGGAATGACATCAAATGTAGTGG